CGTGAGCTTCGTGAGGTAGCGAGTGAGCGCTCCGAAGATGCTTCGGTTCACGTCGTTCATGCCAACGCTGTCGACCAGGTAGGCCGACACGAAGACAATGCCGCCACGGACTCCCCAGTGCACGTGGGCGGCCACCAGTCGCCCTGGCCACAGTGTCGCCGAGGGCAGCAGCGGCGGGGCCGTGACGGGGATGTTCTTGCGGGCCAGGACCGCGACGCCGCCCGTCGTGCCCTCCGCGGAGGTGGGGCCTGCCACTGCTGGCGCCCAGATGCCCGCGAACCCGTGATCCAGCACTTCGTGCTGCAGGTCGGCGAGCTTCGCCTCGTCCCGTCGGTGATGCTCCTGGACGAGAACGACGTGCGACTCGAGGGTCTCTAGGCACGGCGCCAATGAACCCCAGGAAGTCACGTTGCTGGTAGTGATAGTGCCTTTCGCCATCGCAAGTGTGCAGGACATCGCGATGATGAGCTTAGTAAGGATTGAAGCCCCTGGCGGCCAGCTCCGTGGCCCGCGCCAGCATGGCGTCGCTGGTCTCCTCTGCTGGCCCTGGCGAGAAATCAGCCATGGTCTGCCGTAGCTTCTCGGGCTCCATCGCGGCGGGATCCCAGCGCGGCGCTGCGGCTGCCGTGGCGGCGCCGCCTGCGGCGCCTGCGCCATGCGCGGCGGCGGCGGCGTCGTCTCCTTCGACGGGCGCTGCAGGGGTGCGAGGGGCGCTCGCTGCCTCCGTGGCGGCGGCCCGCTCGCGCTGCCGCCGCAGTATGAGCTCCTGGAGGGGCCCGCCGAGCGCCGAGGCCAGCCGCTGCGGCAAATCGCCCGCGGTCTGCATGGTGACGTCGGGGTGAGCGGCCAGAGCCCCGCTGAGAGCCTGCGCCAGGTCGCCGAGGGTGAGGCCGCCCGTGTTCTTGATGACGTCGTGCTCCATGGACTGCCCAGGCGGACGATCCTCTGGCGCGACTGGGACCTGCTGCTGGAGTGCCGCCTGCTCCGCCTGGAGGGCCACCTGCTGTGCCTTGAGCTCTCTGACCCCCTGCCGCTTGAGCTCCAGCTCGTCTTGCGCCTCCTTGACACGGTCCTCCGCCTCGCGCTCGGCCAGCTCCATCTTGCTGAGTTTGTCCGCCAGGTTCTTCTGCCTGTGGGCCAACGCCTGCACCCGCGCGTGGAGCGGCTTGGCGGCGAAGAGCCTGTCCTTGGCGGCGGCGAGCCTGCGCTTGAGATCCTCCCGCGGGCCCGTGGCCCAGTCGTGCTGCACGTCCTTGAGCGTGGCCAGGCCTGCCTCGCACACCTTGATCTCGCTCGCAGCCGAGGCGTCCTCGCCTGACTTGCCTTCGTCCACGTGCATGGGCGCGGCCCCGCCCTGGTCGGACTCCTGCGTGCGCAGCTTCTTCCTGGCAGCGTCGAGCTCCGCCCGAATGGCCGCAAGCTCGCTCTCGAGCTTGCCCTCGGCCGTCCACGGGGCCCGCTTCTTGCCCTTGGCTGTGGCCCGCATCGAGGGCTCCTTCGGCGGCACAGGCCCGCCGTACACGTCCTTCTTGTGGAGCCTACACCCTTGGCACTTGAGCGAGGTCCCGAAGTTGATGAGCGGCATGCCGCGCTTCGTCGTACAGCTCCTGCACGCCCAATCCTGGCGTTCCTTTCGGCCGGCGCCAGCCATGGTGCTGCAGTCTGCACTTGGGATCGAGAAGGGGCTGTCGGGCTCGAGAGGAGCCCTGGCACTGGCCGCGGACTAGCGGTATCCACTTGTTCCCCTGTGGAACTAGGCATCTTGAGCCAAAATGGCTACGGAGGAGGAGGAGGAGGAGAAGGAGGGAGGAGGAGGAGGAGGAGGAGGAGGAGGTGGAGTTGGAGGAGGAGGAGGAGTTGGAGGAGGAGGAGGAGGAGGAGGAGGAGGAGGAGGAGGAGGAGGAGGAGGAGTTGAAGGAGGAGGAGGAGGAGGAGGAGGAGGAGGAGGAGGAGGTTGGGTCCTTCGCCAGGCTATTTTTGCCACCCTTGTCCCAGGGGCCCGAGAGCGCAGGTTGTCTCGTGGCTCAAACGCGTCCAGGTCGAGTGTGGCTGTCACGCGCACGGGCCCAGCCCTGGGAGCTCATGCCACCACCCACCGGACCACCCCAACCCAGCCCGAAGGTCTCGATTTGCCCTCCACTTCCAGCTGGGGGGGGGGGTCGGGGAACATCGAGAATGCACAGATGGAACCCGTACCCCCCCCCCACCCGAAATTCGGGTCTTCGGGTTGGGTTGGGGTGGTCTGGCAGGCAGTCAGCATTTCACTCGTCTTTTTTCGACGTGCCCCAGGAGAATGTTCGAGCAGTGGCCTCGCCGGAACACATCGAAGCATCCGGGGCCGGCGGAGTGCGCGAAACCGCCCCTGGCATGCCTTTTCCTGCATGCGACGCACACTCTCCTCCACTGCACCTTCATCTGATCATTGTCTTCCGAAGCTAAACACGGCGAGTGCCCGCAGGGGGGCCCGCCGAATAGAGTCAGAGCGGGAGTCACGGCCGGCCCCCAGAGGGAAACACGCACGTAGGTGCTGCAATCAGTCGGTGTTCGGGGCACAGCTTTGACGAGGGTCGGCACCACTCGTTGCAATGTTTCTCAGGGCCATCTTGGCGTCCCTTGGGGGGGCAGGCGGCCTTTGGAGCCAGCAGAGGGTCCTTGGAGGTACATGAGCCACGAAGTGCGTGATGGGGTGTGCCCAATCGAAGCTCCCCTGAACCGTCTGAGGGGGCAGCTCAGGTCCCCTGGGAATGCAGGACGCGCGAAGTGCGTGAGGAGTGTGCTGGATTGAGGCTCGCTTTAGCCGTCTTGAGGGCCAGCGGATCGCCCCTGGAGGTCCCCGGGGCGAAATGCGTAAGGCGTGTGCTGATTTGAGCACCCAGGGAGCAGTCTTTTGGGCCAGCCGAGCTCCCATGATGCACGAAGTGCGTGATGGGTGTGCCGCATTGAAGCTCCTGGGAGAATGCTCATGCGAACCCCTCGTGTTTCGCATGTCTCAGAGGCCTGTTGGCGCAGGGACTGCGTGAGGGGTACGCCGAAACCACGCTTTCGCAGCCCTCAGGCGCAGCTCGTTCGTGTTTCTACATGTCCCAGGAGCTGTCACGCGCGTGGGCCTAGCGCTGGGAGCACGCTTTTCACTGTTGTTTTTTGCGCGTCCCCGGGAAGGTTGTACGGAATCGGCCGGCGGAGTGCGGGGGTGGGGCGGCGGAATCCGCGAAGCCCGTCTCAGCATGCCTTATGCATGGTGAGCGTTTTCTTTCTCGGCGTTTCGACATTGGGCGGAAGGGGGGGCGGAGGGGGGGAGGTCTGGCTTCGGACCTCCTCCCCTTCCTCCTGCTGATCTCACCCTCTCCCTCCTCCTCCTCCTCTTCCTCCTCCTTCCCCGCCTCCGTCATCTCCTCCTCCTCCTCCTCCCTCCTCCGTCCTCCTCCTCCTCCTCCTCCTCAGTGCGTCCTACGAGGGGGGCCCCGCCTGCTCGAAACAGGCGCCAAGAACGGCCAGGATCCACTCCATGGGGGGGGGAAGAGGGGGTGCGCAGGCCCGCTACGATCGGCAAGACAATGACTTAGAAACACGATCGCACGCTTCTCTCCCCCCTCCATTTCCATATCTCGGGGGTGGACAGACCTCCTACCCTGACACGTCGATTAAGGAATTGGCCGTTTTCGGTTCGCGAGAGGGCGTCGCGGCCGTTATTTTTGCGGGTCCAGGTCCGTCGGTTTCGGTCCCAGGCCGTTTTCACAAACGGGAGGTTTACTTAAGGGAGGTTTGTCCAACGCCGAATATCATCTACGCTCGACGGCTAACACGCCGAGGGCCCGCAGTGGGCCCGCCGAAATTTCATCGCTGCGCTCGCTCCGCCGGCCCATAGTTGGCGGCCTGTGGCCTTCGGTCCATCATCCCGTGCCCTGGTGGTGGGCCTGAAGCCTCCGGGATGCTCGTCGAAGCCTGTCGGGGGCCTCCTGGAGGCAGCTCTGAGGCCAAGGGGGTCTGTTTGAGGGACTCTTTTGGACCTCTCGGGGGCCTCGTGGGGTCCTCTGGAAGGCTGGGATTCGCGCCCTCTGGGGAAGGCTTTTAGCCCTCTTGGCACGTCTTGGTCGCTTTTTCGGCCGACTGGAGGCCATCTTGGATCGATCTTTCAGCGATTCGGGGCCCTCTTGGACCGTCTCGGGGGCCTCTTGGGGTCCAGAAGGCCGCGCCATGGAGTTCCCGCATCATTGGGGAGGACCTTGCTGGGACCTTGCCGGGGTACTTCTCGTCGAGGGACCTTGAGGGGCGTCCCCGCGCGCGCGAACTAGAAGTGTTCTCAACCTGCTACCGGAGGTCTCAGCACGCCTCTGGCCCGTTGGGCCGGAGATTTCTTTTATTCAGAGCGTGAATTACCTCCCCCGCTTTCGCTTCCAGGCAAAACCAAGCCATACCACGCGCCTCCTCGTCAAGCGGCCTGACCAGTACAGGCCGTAGTTTGGCATCGTTTGGTATCTCTTGGAAGCGAGGGTGGTCAAAAGCGAAGTAGGTTTGTTTTCCCTCTATTTATGCGGATATGCCAGCCACCAGAATTCGCCTCTTCGCGAGCTGCGTGGCAAAGCTGTCCCCGCAGACGCGGGCAGCGGCGAGCCAGGGCAGAAGCCAGGCCGGTGCAGGGCAGGGCAGGAAGCGAGAGCAGCGAGGCAGGGGCCAGGCAAACACAGTGTTTTAGGAATTCCAGTGGTGCGTCTCTGTCGCCTCCGGGGGGGGGTCTGACCGGGGCCTGTTTGGGGTGACGTTAACCCGGCCGGCGTTTTTTAGATTTGGCCTATTTGGAGTTCGAGCCTTCATCCAATGGGTGCGGTGGAATAAAAAAGGAGAAGGCCCCAGGAGAAGGCCAGGAGAAATGGCGCCCGCACATGGCCGTGGATGCGCGAGGCGCAGCCGCGCGCGCACGCGCGCACACCCATGCCCAGAATTCCTGTTATGTTTGCCCGAGGACGCGCATCCGAGCAGGGCCTGTCGCCATATTTTGCGCGAGCCGCGGCTCGAGCCGGCGGGGGTGCCCTCGACCCTCCCACCCTCCTCTTCCCCGTTCGGTCGAAATGGGTGCGAAAAGAGTTGGCACAAAGACCGACATCAGTTCTGGCAGATTTCCCAAACGTCATGTGGTGTTGGGTCATCGTTTTGAAGAGAGTGCCCAAGCGTTCCTCTCCTCTCCTCCCCCCGCTTCCATCATAATTACCACAGCCACCACCACCACCACCATCACCATCACCATCACCATCACCATCATCATCATCATCACCATCATCATCATCATCATCATCATCATCATCATCATCATCATCATCGTCATGAGCATCATCATTATCGTCATCATCATCATCATCGTCGTCATCGTCATCGTCATTGTCATCGTCGTCATCATCATCAGCAATCATCGCCATCATCATCATCATCATCATCATCATCATCATCATCATCATCATCATTATCATCATCATCATTATCATCACCATCATTGCCATTATCATTACCATTGCCGTCATCATCATCATCATCATCACCATCATGGTAATCATCATCATCATCATCGTCATCGGCATCGGCATCGTCATCAGCACCATAAGCATCATCAGCGTCGGCATTGGCATCGACATCATCGTCATTATCATCACATCATTATCATCGCCATCATCAGCATCATCATAATCATAATCCATCTTCATCAGCACCATCATCACCGCCAACATCATCATCATCATCATCAGCAGCAGCGTCATCGTCGTCATCTCACCGTCATCATCTTCATCACCACCACTAGCATTATCATTATTATCATCATCGCCATTCATCATCATCTTCATCATCAGCATTATCATCAGCATCATCATCACTACCATCACCATCACCAGCATCACCATGAGCAGCATCATCACCATCATCATCATTATCATTACGACCACTATCATGATCATCACAACATCATCATCAGGATCATCATCAGCATCCTAATTCTAGACGCTTCGCGTATCCCCACCAGCCCGTCCAGAAACGACGCCCAGGCGAGTAGAGGGTCGTCCTGAGGGTTTTTTCGGCGTCTTGGGTGCCTCGGGGGGGCCTCTTTGGGCCGTTTGGGATCCTCTTGGGGGCCTCCTGGGGGCCTCTTGGGGCCATCTTGGGGCCATCTTGGGGCCTCTTGGTGCCTCCTGGGCGCTTCTTGGGGCCATCTTGGAGGAAATCGATCAAAGAAGAGGGGAGCTTCAATTAGCGCTGCCCCCTCAGAAGGCCAAAATGGGGCCAACACCTTAGTAAAATCAATGATTTCGGCTTCCTCGGCGAGGCCGTTTTGGACGCTCTGACCGCTCCCCGCCCCCCCTGTCCAGGTCAGTGGGGAGGGGGTAGGGGGAGGGGTAGACCCCTCCCCGAAGGGGAAGAAGGAGGGGTGGAAGAGGAAACTCGTTAAACCACCGACGCCCTAAAGGGCTGGTGGGATTATCAGCATCATCACCAGTATCATCAACCACATCTCCATTACTATCACCATCATCATCATCATCATCATCATCATCATCATCATCATCATCATCATCATCATCATCATCATCACCATCACCATCACCATCACCATCACCATCACCATCCCCATCATCATCGGCATCATCATCTTGGCATCATCATCAACATCATCATCATCATCATCGTCATCATCATCATCATCATCATCATCATCATCATCATCATCATCATCATCATCGTCATCATCCGTGTCCGTTTTGGCTCAAGAATCAAGCCATTTTGGATCAAGTGCCGAGTGGCTTGAACCGAGTGCTAGCGCAGTGGTGAGCTGCCCAGCTCACCGGTGCTCTCCTCACATGTTCACTCGCCTTCCTTTGGCTCAGTTCCCTCCCTCCGGGCGCGCAGGATGGCCCCTGCGCGCTGGGGTGGGCGAGGGCATGCGCTGGTCGCGCTCGCTGGGGCGAGCGCTGCTGGCGGCGGGCTCCCGTGGGCAGTCTGGTGGGCCCTCCAGGCCGCCCAGGACCCGCGTGTCCGTGGAGCGGTGGCGGAGGCGGGTGCCACTGGAGCAGCTGCGGCCTCCGGAGGTGGCGGCCACCTGGATGGATGAGTCCGTCCGGAGCGACGGGGAGGCCTTGCGCCTCTCCTGCTGGAAGGCCTTTGCCATCGCCGCCTTCCCCGCGAGCCTCCGCAGCATCACCAGCCTCCTGGTCGCCTTGTGCTGCTGCTACGGCTGCGCACCCCTCGGTTTCTTCGGGTGACGGGCTTGGGCGCAAAGCCCGCCGTCGCCGCTGCGCTCCTGGGCCGCCCACCTGGCCGAGATCGCCGACTGCGTCGAGGCCGGGGGCCTGGCCGCGGTCGAAGACGTCGCCAGGCGTTTCGGGATCGCGCCAGCTGCTGTACGCTCTTGGCTGGTTCATTGGCGTGTGGCTCACCACGGGCCTCGCTGGCGACGTGGAAGGTCCGCCGTATCGGCTTGCGTGAGCCTCTCGTGAAGCTCGCGGGGGCGGTGGGCGTGGAGGCTGTTATCCACCGGGCGCGCGGCCGCATGGAACCGCACCAGCTTTAGCAATACCCCCGATAGCATCCCGATGCTTGTCCAGGTGTTGCGGGGCTGGGCCATCGAGATGTCCAGTGAGCACGTTGGGCCGAGAACCGACGGCGACGCGCAACTGCAGCAGCCAGACATGGAAGAGGTTACCGCGGCGGAGGAGGAGGAGGAGGCGGAGGGGGAGTTGGAGAGGGAGGGCACTTTTTTGGCCTAGTGCGTCGCCGAGACCGATCTAGAGAACGCTTACGTCCGGTTCTTCCGCAGCTCCCTGCTGGCCATGGCCCGGCGCCACGCGCCCGACCTTTTGCCCCCCCTTTGCCGGCCGATGGGCCGCTGGGGCGGCGTTCTGGGGGCGCCTGGGTGCAGCGCACCACGCGGCGGGGCGGCATCCAGGGCTCTCGCCTCATGCAGCTGCTGCTCAACCTCGACATCGCCAACGCCATGCGGGGCATCTGCGGCAGTGGCCTCGCGCTGTCGTCGCCGGAGGTCGCGCTCGCCGGCGTCGCTGGCGATTGGTGCATCGCTGGGGGCGCGAGCACTGCTCGCGCCCCCATCAACACCTGTGGTATGCAAGACCGTTGTGGTGCACGCATGTTTCGTAGTGCTCACAGGCAGCGTGGCGCATTAGAGCTCAATATATAGTGTACACAAGAATTCGCGGCTACGCTTAGCAATCTCATCCCGCGTATGCCACTGTGAGCTGTCTAGACATCCCTAGGCATTTTCAGACGGCGCCGCATCGTTGCAGCCTCAACGGTAGCATCGCGCCAGCATAATTCGCAGCTGTAGGGCCGCAGCACCGGTGCGCGCGGGCATATGCAGGGCGGCCCACAGCGCGAAGGTTCGGTTATCGGCTGGCCCCCTCCCCCCGGATACCCCGGGTCATCGCCGATTCCCCCAAAATGGTCTCCGCGACCCCAGCGCCGAGGTCGCCCTCGAGGCTGCTTCGCACTTGCGGGCGTTCGGGGTGGCTTTCGCGCTGGGGTTCGGCACGGCCTTCACCGCGGAAGCGCAGACGGAGTACACTCTAGGCGATGCTTAAGAAAACCCATGTTTTCGTCCAGAGTCTCGATTATTCTTAACTTTTCAATGTAGATCCCAAGATGTTAATAGAAGTTCTTGGTTGTTATTCAAATTCTGAGACTATGAATTTCTTAACCCATGATTTCTTAAGCATATCGCAGGGTGTACGCCAACGGGCCGACCGTCGCCGACACCCCGTGTCGGACGTCTTCAGTTGTATCGGGCACGTCGACGCCTCCTCCCCCGGCCCCGCGCGCGGGCACGGGCAGCGCCGCGCGCGGGCGCCCAGCCGCAGGCAGCCCGGGCGCCGCCAGCACCCCGGCCGCGGGCTCCCGACCCGCTCCCGGCGCGGCCCCAGCGCCGCCGGGGCACCGGCAGGGAAGTCCAAGGAGTTTTTTTTTGTTATATATATATATATATATATATATAATATATAAATATATATATATATATAATTAAACAAATCCAGGCACGCTTACTTGCATGGCGTTCGCCCCCCCCCCCCCCCCCCCCTCGCCCCTCTTCAATCGAACGCGAGCGTGCAAGCGCCTTTCGACTTGCGTGATTTCCGCACGTCGAATTGTTTTCGGCTTGCTTCAGACTCAGCCCCCGCGGCGTCGTAGGGGGCACCCTGCTGCTCCAGCGCGATCTGGGGGGGACCCGCCGGCGGCTGCCAGGGCGCCTCTTCCGAGACCTCGCCGCCCTGCGCGCCGCAAGGATTTGGCGCAGCATCGCCAGCGGCGGCGAGCGCCAGCGCAATCTGCTCGCGCGCTGGCCGGGGTAGTGGCGTTTTCTAGGGGTGCAAACCGGTTCGACGCTTTGGCAAGCGGCCTTCCTGGGGCGGCTGGGCGCCGCGCTCGCTCTTCCAGGGCTCACCTGCGGGCTGCGGCGCGCCGCTGCCGTCGAGGACGCAGGCGAGGAGGTGCGGGAATGCGGCGAGGTGCTCGGCGTGCGCTGCGAGCGCCTTGGCGTGCCGTGCCCCAGGAGCGCCGCGCGTCTGCGGGCTCACATTGGGGCCGCGCGCGGCTTCGAGGAAGAGCTCCGCTCCGCAGGCGCTGTCGTCGATTTCGGACGGCACGATCCAGCAGGCGGTTGTGGACCTCGTCGTCGTGCCGGCGCCGACTGCTGGTGGCTGGGCGTCGCCCCCTGGTCGCCCTTCCATCCTTCGCTCGCCGACGCTGGTCGCGCCCTCGGGGCCGCCGCTGAGTCTGGAGACGCGCTGCGGCGAGTAGGTGCACAGCGTCGCCGTCGAGGCAGGCGGCCTCCTCGGCGCTAGCGCCGCCGCGGCGCTCGCGGAGCTCGCGGCCGCCTGGCAGGCGCGGCACCGCGGCGAGGCGGCTCGCCGAGCGGCTCGGCACCGCGGTGGCGCTGTGGGCGGCGGGCGCCGCAATCGCCGCCCTGGGCTTCTAGCCCGCCGCTGGCGACACGTGCAGCGGCTTGACTTCGGCCACCCGGAAGTACCCGGATCATCATCATCATCATCATCATCATCATCATCATCATCATCATCATCATCATCAGCAGCAGCAGCATCAGCAGCATCATCATCAGCATTATCATCGTCATCGTCATCGTCATCATCATCAGCTTCTGTACGCCCCTCACAAGGTCCGTGGCCCCAAAGGGAGCTCCACGAAGGCCCAGGTGGCAGGAATCGCGGGGCAGCCCCAACCCAAGTCGGCAAAGACCTCACACGCTCCGTGGCCCCATGGGGAGGAGCTCCACTAAAGGCCCCGGTGGCAGGGTTCGCATGGCGTCCCCGTCCCTCTTCGGCGCCGTCCCTTCTCCGCGCGGCGGCCCCGACCAATGTCGGCAAACAGTTCACCCATGGTTCTCTTGTTTTGTTCCTTGCCTCATTCCCTCGGGTTCCCTGGTCGTGTTCCTCTGGTTCCCTGGTCTTGTTCTTTGCTTGGGCTCCTCGGGTTCCCCGGTGTTGCTTCTTGCTAGGGTTCCTCCTGCTCCCCGGTTTTTGATCCTCGGGTTCTGCGGGTTCTCTGGTCTTGTTCCCTGCTTTGGTTCCTGGGGTTCCCCGGTCTTGTTCCTCGGGCCCCCCGGCATTGCAAAGCAAAGCAAAGTTGAGCAATGCCAATCCAAGCAACAAATGCCAGGCAATGTCCAAATCAGTGCCAAAACATGCAAAGCAATGGCAGGCAATGCCGATCACCACCAAACCACCCCAATCCAACACGAAGGCCCAAATTCGCCCGTGGGCGGAGTGTTTGGGAACATCGCGAAAAAAACACGTTCGGAACACATGCCCCCCAACCCGAAATTCGGGTCGTCGGGTTAGGTTGGAGTGGTGTGGTAGGTAATCAGAGCAATGCTAAGCAACGCAAAGCAATGCCAAACAACGACAAGCGACGCCGAGCAATAAGCCCATGCACCAGGAAGCTTTCCCTTAATTGGGGTCGCTTCAGTTGACGGCCCCAGGGGCTCGGCGAGGGACCCCCGGGGAAGCCGAACATGGCCTGAAGCCTTCCGCTGTGATTTTGGCCACGGCGCGAGCGTGTTCGGGTGAGCCGTCGGCGCCCCCCCACCTCTCAGTATCGCTTGACCGATCCCCGTCTCCATCGGGCCACGGCATCTCCGCCCCACCAGCCCACCCCCCAGGTGGGGATAGGCCCCGCGAGTCCCGAAGGGAACACCACGTGTCCCCTATCCAGGCGGTTAAATCAGCCAGTGGAGCCAGTACTGTGGCAGTGGTGGTGGTGGTGGTCACCGCACAAGGGAAACGAGTCCCCCAGCAGAGCAACACGCACCACGACCACGACGACGCCGCCGACGCCGACGACGACGCCGACGACGACGAAGACGAGACGCGCAGACGGGAGATCGGTTAAACTCGGCGGCGAGCGAGGGGGTGAGTTGAGAAGGAGAAGGCCTTCTCAGAAGGCGGCGGGACTTCTCAGGAGCCCTCGCGCCTTCTGAGAGCTTGTTTTTCTGCCTCCAGGGAAGGCTTCGAGACAACTTCTCAGAAGCCCAGGCGACTCCCGAGCCTCCTGAGAAGCCACGCCCTTTCTCACTTCCCCCCTGGCTCGCCGCCTCTAATCACCACCCACCAAACCACCCCAACCCAGCCCGAAGGCCTCAGGTTGCCCTCCGTTTCCAGTTGTGGGGGGTCGGGGAACACCGACAAAACACACATGGAACCCGTACCCCCTCAAACCCGAAATTGGGGTCGTCGAGCTGGGTTGGGGTGGTCGCCCGGGCGACCTCCGAGCCTTCCGAGAAGGCACGCCCCTTCTCGTTTCGTCCCTGGCTCGCCGTCTCGCATGCACGCCTGGCTAATGAGGAGGAGGAGGAGGAGGAGGAGGAGGAGGAGGAGGAGGAGAGGGAGGGAGGGAGGGAGGGAGGGAGGGAGGGAGGGAGGGAGGGAGGAGGAGGAGGAGGAGGAGGAGGACTGTTCCTTATTGCAGCGTCTTGACTGCAGTCGAGGAGCTCCCTCGCTCCTCTGGCTCGCCGCCTCCAAGCGATGCTCCGCCTTCCGCACCTTGCCACGGCCTGAGCCGGCGGGGGGCGCCGGGGCTGCCCAGAGGCGGCGGCGCGGCGGCTGCGCGGGCGCAGCCTCTCTGCCCGCGCGGCGGCGGGCGCGCCCCTCGCGCGGCCTGGGGCGCAGGAGCCCCTCCCTCCTCCCTCGTCCCCCTCCCCCACCTCCCCACCTCCTCCTCCTCCTCCTCCTCCTCCCCCTCCTCCTTCTCCTTCTTCCTCTTGATCCTCCTTCTCTTTCCCCTCCTCCTTCTTTTCTTATTTTTACGATTATTATTATTGTTATTATTATTGCCATTCTTATTATTATTTCGATTATCATTATGCTTATTAGTCGGAGGTGAGGGGGTGAGATCGAAGTGGAACGGAGAGCCCCCCTACAGGGAAATCGGTTTCGGTTTCGTGTTCGTGCGTGCCGTGCGTGCGGGCGAGGCGAAGCTGCGTGGGCTGGCGAGAAATGTCCCGCCTCTGGCTGAGGCGCGGCCGGACAAAAAGTCTCCCTTCCGGCAACCGGTGCCGCGCGGTGTCCCGCCGGTGTCCCGCCGGTGTCCCGCCGGTGTCCCGTCGGTGTCCCGATGATGATGATGATGATGATGATGATGATGATGATGATGATGATGATGATGATGATGATGATGATGGTGATGGTGATGGTGATGGTGATGGTGATGGCGATGGTGATGGTGATGGTGATGATGATGATGATGACGATGACGATGACGATGATGATGATGATGATGATGGCGATGTTGATGATGATATGATGATGATGGCCATGTTGGTGATGATGATGGTGTCCCGATGATGATGATGATGTTGATGATGCTGATGTTGCTGATGATGATGATAATGGTGTCCACATGATAATGACGATGATGTTGATGATCCTGATGATAACGAATATGATAATGATTATGATGGCGAATATGATAATGAAGATGATGATGGTGTCCCGATGATGATGATGAGGTTGATGATGATGATGCTGTTGATGATGATGATGGTGTTGATGATGACGGTGTCCCGACGATGATGATGTTGATGATGATGATGACGATGATGGTGTCCCGATGGTGATGATGATGATGTTGATGATGAGGATGATGATGAGGTGGTGATGATGATGATTTTGATGGTGGTGGCCCGATGATGAGGATGATGCTCATGTTGATGATGATCGTGGTGTCTCGATGATAATGATGATGGTGATGATGATGGTGGCGATGATGATGATGATGATGATGATGATGATGATGATGATGATGATGTTGCTGATGATGATGACGATGATGGTGTCCCGATGATGATGATGCTGATGATGATGTTGATGATGTTGTTCGTGATGACGATGAGATGATCATGATGATGGTGGTGTTCAGATGATGATGATGATGATGGCGTCACAATGATGATGGTGACGATGATGGTGTCCCGATGATGGTAATGATGGTGATGATGGTGATGATGATGGCCATGGTGGCGATGTTGATGATGATGATGGTGTCCCGATGATGATGATGTTGGTGATCCTGATGATGTTGATGATGATGAGATGATGATGATTATGAAGATGGTGATTCTGATGGTGTCCCGATGATGATGATGATGATGAGGTTGATGATGCTGTTGATGATGATGGTGATGATGATGATTCGGATGATGGTGTCACGATGATGATGATGCTGATGATGTTGACGATGGTGGTGTTCGATGATGATGATGATGTTGATGATGAGGATTGATGATGAGGTGATGATGATTGTGATGATGGTGGCCCGATGAGGATGATGTTGATGTTGATGATGATGATGGTGTCTCGATGATGATGATTCTGGTGCTGATGATGTTAACAATGATGATGGTGTGCCGATGCTGATTTTGCTGATGATGATGATGGTGTCCCGATGATGATGGTGTTGACGATGTTGGCCATGAGGATGATGAGATGATGATGATGCTGATGATGATGATGATGATGATGATGATGATAGTGGTGTTCCGATGATGATGATGATGGTGATGGTGATGATGTTGATGATGATGGTGACGGTGATTGTGTCCCGATGATGATGATGGTGATGATGATGATGTTGATGGTGATGGTGATGATGTGATGATAATGAGGGTGTCCCGATTATGATGATGATGATGATGATGATGATGATGATGATGATGATGTTGATGATGATGTTGTTGATGGCGTTGTTGACGATGATGTCGATGCTGATGTTGATGACGTTGATTGTGAGATCGATTGTGATATCGATAGTGAGATAGTGAGATGGGATGTGAGATATAGAATGAGATCGATAGTGAGATCGATTGTGAGATCGGTTGTGAGATCGATAGTCATATCGATTGTGAGATCGATCGAACGAAACATATCGAGTGATATCGATTGTGAGATCGATCGAGTGAGATCGATCGAGCGAGACCGATAGTGGGATCGATAGTAAGATCGATAGTGAGACCGATCGAGTGAGACGTTGGTTCCTCCCCCCCCCGAACCTCCTTATCACCCGAAGGGTGGTCGTATAGGTAGGATTATTATTATTATTGAGCGGCGGGGCGCTCCCGGACTGCTGCCAAGATTTTGACCACGACGTCTCCGATATTCAAGCAGTGGCGAAGCGTTTTGGTTCGCCTGACAATGATCCAGGAGCCTTTTGTGGTTTCCACGAGATGTTCTTAGAACATTTCAGGCGGAGTCTGTCTTGTTGTATCACATCGGGTTAATGTTCTGAGAACCTGGTTTTCGTTCTTAGAACATTTGTGGGTTCTAACAAAATGTCGTGGTAGGACTATAGGAATGCCGGGACGGTCGGTCCCTGCTCAAAAGATGTCCCCAAGACGTTTCCAAGATGGTGTCACGATCTTCCCAAGATGTTGCCCTGATTTGTTCCCCGAGGTTTCCTATGGTGCTCTGTGCGGGCTCCAGGTGCGGTGGCCGCATGCATGCTCTGGAGTGCCCTGGCACGCGACCCCGAGCCAGTCGCACCCTGACAGCATCCTCGTCCTCTGGACACCGGGGCTCACCGAGCGCGTTCCACTGCTCGCAAAGTGCCCACTCGCAGACGTCCGAAAAACAGGTGTCTGTTCTGATGCAGTTCGTCGTCGATCCCCCTGCGTGGGATCCAGGCCACTTGCGAGTCGTTACCTTGCGAGTAGTGGAGCGCGCTCGTCGAGAGGCGCGACCCCGTGGGATCGCGATCCCGTGGATGCGCCCCGCGCGGGGCTTCCGCGCTCGGGCGACGCCCACCGACCACGATCGCCTGCCTCGCCGAGCCTGGCCGGGCCGAGCCTGGGCCCGGGACCGGTGTCCGCGCCCCTGGCGGCCCAGAATCGAATGACGCGAAGATCGGGACAAAATCGGATCGGGATAGCTCGAAATCTTTAAGAATCGGCGGGTTTGGGGGACGTGTTGGGCGCCGCGGCCGCTCCAGAGCGTTCCGGAAGGCTCTGAGAGCGCTCCAGAACGCTCTGGAGCGATTTATCCCGATCCTAGCCCTGCAGCAGGGAAGGCTGGACCACGATGCCTGGCCCAGGAATGCGGGGCCCGACCCAGGCGGTGTTTTGGGTGATCTCGTGGGCCGTTTTCGTGTCGATGTCGTTTTGCGTGAAAGAGGCGGGTCGAAGAATCAACGAGGGAGAACGAGAACAAGACGAACACGACAGACACCGTTGAGGTTCAGCCCTGCCCCTGGTGGCCCAGCAAGGAACGCTGGACCGCGATGCCTGGCCCAGGATGGGCCCAGCCAGGATCGGTGAGGCGGGCAGTGCAATCTGCCCTAAAAGCCGCCCCGCATCGGGCGGGGCCAGGACCAGGAGCCATCGCTCCAGAGCGTTCCGGAAAGCTCTCGGAGCGCTCCGAAGAGAGTGCTCCTGCAACGGCCGCGGCGCTCGGCACACCCTGCAGACTTGCCGGATTTTCAGAGCTGGTCCTGGTGTCCGACTTTGTGTTCGGCTGGGGGGCCCTCGGCGCGAGGCCGCGGATCCTGGAGGAGTTCTCTGCCCGCCCGCGCCTCCCGAGGAGACCAGCGTGCACGGATGAGGTCGCTGGACGCCTTCGGGCGCCCGCTGCAGGAGCTCCTCCTCCTCCTCCTCCTCGGGGGCGCCTGCGCGAGGGGGTCTCGAGACCGCGGGGGGGCCTCCTGGAGGCGTCAGCCTTCGGGGGCGGAGCATGCTCGCTTCGGGCAGGCATCGCGGCGGAAGGCTTGCGGCCAGCTTCGGCCCCCGGGGGCTCTCGACTTATGTCAGAGCCCCGAGTCATCAGGGGTAACTCGGGTCAGGGCTAACTCGGGTTCGTTTTTCGGGACTCCGAACCCGACTCACCCCGGACCCGAGTTACCCCGGATAATTCGGGCGTCCAGAACCCCACATCATCAGGGGTAAATCGGGTCAGGGCTAACTCGGGTTCCTTTTCCGGGAATCCAAGCCCGAGTTACCCCGGACCCGAGTTACCCCGGATAACTCGGGCGCCCAATTATGATATGCCAACCTACTTTAGCTTTGACGGCCAGAAAGCATGTCGAGCACCAAGAACGTCCCGAAACTTGAGGGTTTTCACGTGTCGGGCCCTGGGAGGCGATACTCGTTCGAGACACTGTTTCGACGCTCTTCTGGGTGCTCGAAGTCATTTCTGAGATGTGGTCCTCGAGTACGATTCTGGGATGTCGCCCTCGAGTACGATGGGAGCAACATAACTCTCTCGGGGGTGGACAGACCTCCTACCCTGACACGTCAATTAGCGACTTGGCCGTTTTCGGCTCGCGAGAGGGCGTCGCGGCCGCCATTTTTGCGGGTTCAGGTCCGTCGGTTTCGGTCCCAGGCCGCTTTCACTAAGGAGAGGTTTACTAAAGAGAGGTTGTCAACCGCCGAACTATTTCAAGAATCGTCAAAGAAACAGCCTCGAGACGAATATTCGATTCCTTTTGGAGATCTGTTTGGGACCTTTTGGGGGTACTTTTTTTGCCTTTCGTCCAGAGTCCGCCTGTCCGTCAAGAGCCATCCTCGATCCTTGAGCCTCGAGCCTCGATCATCGAACCTCGATCCTCGATCCTCGAACCTCGATCCTCGAGCCGTGCCAGTTTTTTAAGTCGGGCGTGTGCCTCCACATCGTTAAAACGCCATGTGTTTTAGCGATGTTAAAACCAGCAAGACACCATTTCTTTACATACTTTGGTTTCAAGGTCAAGAGGAGGACATGCTCATCATACGAGGGGGGTCCCAGCGCCGATCCAGGAAATCCGCGCGGACCTCCTTGAGATTATTCGGAGGTTGATCCACCTCCTGCCCTGACACATCGATTAGCGAATTGGCCGTTTTCGGTTCGCGAGAGGGCGTCGCGGCCGCCGTTTTTGCGGGTCCAGGTCCGCCGGTTTCGGTCCCAGGCCGTTTTTATTGAAGGGTGGTTTACTAAAGGGATGTTTGTCCACCGCCGAACTATCGTCAAACAAATAGTCTCAAAACGATGTTTCGCTTCCTTCTGGAGATGTGTTTGGGGCCTTTGCGGGGTACTTTTTTATCTTTCGTCCAGAATCCGCCTGTCGGGGGACAGGCCCGACCTGACGCCAGTCCCTTCTTGCGCGCGCCGCCGAGCAGGAGTTCCAGGTGAGGACGGGCTGCGGCGGTTGCCTCTCCGTCGGCTCGCTCTGCGCGGTCGCCCTCCTCTTCCCGGGCGCTGCCAGGGGTGGTCTTCGGCTGGAGTCGGCGGGGGCTCTGAGATTCACCGCCTACCAAACCACCCCTACCCAACCCGAAGGCCTCAATTTGCCCTCCATTTCCAGTGTGGGGGGTCGGGGAACATGGACAAAAACACATGGAACCCGTACCCCCCCCAGCCCGAAATTCGGGTCAAATTCGGGTCTTCGGGTTGGGTTGGGGTGGTCTGGTAGGTAGTCAGAGATGGCCCAGCACTTGTTTTGACCAGCACGTGAGGCGAGGCTCAAGATTCTGGATTCGGGACATCTTTGTCGCCGTCTCCGGTCTCCGGGGTCCGTTTTCGGGCCCTGGGATTGTCGAATGCGGATTCCAGGGGTGAGCAACTTCACCGGATGGATCCCGAGAGGGGCCTGGAGACAGTTTTTTGGTAGATTTGCTCGTGATGCTTCAGGAGGGAAAAAACGCACAGGCACAACTAATCGCCGATTCCCCAGAAAGTGTGGGAAAATATGGGGGGTGGGGTGGAAGACGAAAATCCAAACAATTATGGACACATATGGGGAATCCTGTTATCTGTGTCTAGTTATTTGCGTGCCCCAGGGCCCCTTCGATGTTCCCCTCTCGGCCGGTTCTCCTGGGGCTCATCCAGCTCCGCCCCCCTGGCCGACCCCGAGTCCCTGGCCCAGGGTGCCGCCGGCCTCGCGCACCACTTCGGGGAGACTCTGTCGGGGGTGGACAGACCTCCTGCCCTGACACGTCGATTAAGGAATTGGCCGTTTTCGGCTCGCGAGAGGGCGTCGCGGCCGGCATTTTTGTGGGTTCAGGTCTGTCGGTTTCGGTCCCAGGCCGTTTTCACGAAGCGGAGGTTTACTAAAGGGAGGTTTGTCCACCGCCGAAATAGCGTGGGGGGGTGGATCGCGTGGGGGGGTGGGAAGCCGCTGTCCTTCGGGGGGCGTGGGGAGGTTGGGCAGCAAGAGGGGGTGGGTTTGGGGCGCGCGGGTGGGCGGGCAAGGGGCGTCGGACAGGTTGGCACGGGGGAGGTGCTTATTGAAGGATCTGGAGTACCCTAGTGTCCTGTGTCTCGCGGCCCATGCTTCCTACATTCCTGTGGCCATGTGGCCCTCGGAAGGGTCCTGTGTCCTCTCGCGTGTCCTGTCCGATCGAGCCCGACTGTATCCACTCACTTTCGGAGGGCCGCGAGGATATCCTGGATCGGCGCTGGACCTCCCTCCCCGGCCGGCGCTCCCACTCGCGCGCTCCTCGCGCCAGGGAGGCGGGCCCAGTGCCGCTCCGAGCCATCCTCGTGGACCTCCGACAGTTTTTATGCGCGCGCACATGTGTTTTACCCAGGGATTCTTGAGGAGGCCCCCCCAGTTTCCAGAGTGCCCTCACGATGCCCACACGAGGGCCCCCAGAGTTTCTAGAGTGGTGCAGGAGGCCGGGGAGTTCTTGGGCCAGGACCACCTCTGTCAGCCTCCGGTCTTCCTGTCCGAGCTCCGGTACTTCCTGGAGTTCGACCTCAAGGACGAGACGGTGATCGACCAGAACCAGGACCAGAAGCACCTCAACATCACGTTGAACGTCACTCTCCCAGAGGTGCCCTGTGCCGTGCTCAGCCTGAACCTGATGAACCCGAAGAAGGGGAACGTCATGCACGTCGCCCACGACATCTACAAGACCCGGCTGTCGCCCGGGAGGGGCAGGGCGCTGGGGGTCAGCCAGGGCCGTCCAAGAGGGCGATGATGTGTGTGTGTGTGTGTGTGTTTGTTTGTTTGTTTGTTTGTTTGTTTGTTTGTTTGTTTGTTTGTTTGTGTGTGTGTGCGGGGGAGTTGGCCGGCCGCGCGCGCGTTGCTCCGCTTCCCGATGTTCTATGCCGCGGCGCTGCGCGTGGGGCCGCGTCCAAAATATGTGTGTGTGTGGTGTGTGTGTCTCTTGCTGCCTCGGCGCTGAGGCTTCGGCGGTAGGTCCTGCTCTGCTCTGCTTTGCGGCCCGCTCGGACCTTACACGCCGTTGGCGCGCTCGCCTAAGCCTGCCAACAAAAAGCAAGTGTGTGGTGTGGTGTGTGGCGTGTGTTGTGTGTGTGTGTTGTGTGTGTGTGTGTGTTGTGTGTGTTGTGTGTGTGTGTGGATGTGTGTGTGTGTGTCACCTGCCTGGCCCCTGGCAAGCCGCTCGTTTCGTCTCGCCGCTGCACGCGCGCGCGCTCCGCAGGGAGTTCGCCTCGTTCACCTCAGGGCTCAGCGCAGTCCTCACATCAGGCGGGCCTGGCTCACCGCTTGCCTTGTGGAAGTCGATTAATGGAGAGGAAGCATGCTGCCAAATAATTTCCAGATGTCTAACACATGTTTCAAACATGTTTGAAATCTGTGAAAACATGTTTGAAACATGTTTAGAACATGTTGTGCACAGTTTCAACACACTTGTAATTCAATGATTGCATTATTAGAGTGTTCATTGTCATTGCATCCACAACGCTTGCCTCTCACCCATGATGCTAGGAAGACTTCGCCTGCGTGTGTTCCGTGCAGCCTTCCGCGACAGTGGCGCCACTTCGCCGGCGGAGGAGCAAGCAGTCCGTGTGTGTGTGTGTGTGTGCGTGCGGACACCATGGGCGCTCGCAGGAATCCTGCCGGACATGTTGTCCGTCGTTTTGTTCGACGTGTGTCCCTCCACCCCTCCCTCTTTGTCCGCGCACGTGTCTCGGACCACGATGCGCTGACGCCCCCCTCTCCCCGGCCCCTCTCTTCGGCGCACTCGAGGTCAGAGTCCGCGACAGCCTGCTCGACGTGGCCCAGACGCCCCAGGAGCTGGCCGAGGCGGCAGGCGGCGGCACCACGGTGCGGACCACGCACTCGACGGCGCACCTGCGGTGCCACTCCTGCTTCCAGAGCCACGAGGACGAGGCAGGCCTTCCCTCCTCCCGCGGGCGGTGTTCGGAGCTCGTGTGATGGGGTTCAGCGCTAAGGGGGGCCCGACCCCCGGGTTGAGGCCACGTCGTCGTCGTCGTCGTCGTCGTCGTCGTCGTCGTCGTTCGTCGTCGTCCTTCTGCTCCTCCTCGTGCTCCCCCTCCTCCTCCTCCTCCTCCTCCTCCTCCTCCTCCTCCTCCTCCTCCTCTTAAGCTTCCCCTCCTCCTCGTCTTAAGCTCCTCCCCTCCTCCTCCTCCTCCTCCTCCTCCTCCCCCTCCTCCTCCTCCTCCTCCTCCTCCTCCTCCTCCCCCTCCTCCTCCTCCTCCTCCTCCTCATCCTCCTCCTCCTCCTCCTCCCCCTCCCCCTTTCTGGCTCTCCCTGGTTGATGAGCCACGCGGGGCCGGACCCCCGACTTCCGTCCTTCGCTGGCCGGGCCCTGGAGCTACGGAGCGGCCAGGCATCGCGACCGGCGGAGCTTTCCCCTTTCGGAATGTGCGCTGCGCGAGCTGTTGGCAATTTTTCCGAAGTTCTGTGCGCTGGGCCGCCGCGGAGGATGCCCCAAGGTGGTACTCCAGACTTCGTAATAAAAGGGAGGGGGTTTGGACCCTCCAAGACAGGCCATTTCAGACCCCCCCCCGTGGGAGAACCCTCCAAAACATCGTCCCCAGACCCCCCCAGGCCCTCCAAGATAGCCTGGAAGAGACCCCCCCCGAAATGAGACCCCCCTCCCTTTATTACGAAATCTGGAGTACCGTCTCGGACACAGGCGCCGCATCGCGCATGCCAGCGCGCCTGTGAAGGCGACGCTCTTCTGTTTCTGCTTTGTTATTCCAGCGGGTGCGCAGACGGGCCCTCGAGTGGCCTGATCGCCGCGGGCCCGCTCTGCTTTCCAGTCGTGTTCCACACGGACTGCGCCACGGGTGAGGATACGCTCGGGGCGCTGAAGAAGGAACCCTTTTCGTTGGGGAGGGGCTCGGTGTTCCTTGACTGGTCTACAGCTTGCCTTTTATAGGTTTTCATGAGGCTTTCCATGGGAGATCGAAGTGTAACTTCTGGGGAAAAGGGGCCTCGTTCCTTATTTAGGGTTCCTCTCGTCAACGCCCCGACTTTACCCCTGCCCCTGTTCGCACGCGGACCGCGCCATGGGTGAGGATGCCCCTGCCCCTTGGCATCGTTCTGACGTTTGCATGTTTCCTTCGGCGAGGACCATCGAGGAGCATCCTTGATCATTTGGCGAAGAAGCCACGCGCGAAACCGAACAACAAACACAGGGAATGGACGTCCGAGCGATGGCAAGGCCCCTGTTTGCGCGCGGCGCTTTCCTTGCCTCGTGAGGAAGGCCTGCGGGGCGCTTTTTCGCCTCGGGGCCCGGACGGGCCGTCGTCCGAGGTGGTGCGTATCTCCTTTCCCCCTTTGCCTCTCCTCCTCCTCCTCCTCCTCCTCCTCCTCCTCCTCCTCCTCCTCCTCCTCCTCCTCCTCCCCCTCCTCCTCCTCCCTCCTCCCTCCTCCCTCATCCTCCTCCTCCTCCTCCTACTCCTCCTCCTACTCCTGCGCATGCTCTCCACTTCCCTATCTTTTTCCTCACCGCCCTTCTCCTCCCCCTCATCCTTATTGAGGGTTCTTTTGGTCAACGCCCCGACTGTACTCCTGCCCCTGTTCGTGCGCGGCGCTTTCCTTGCCTCGTGCGGCAGGCTTGCGGGGCGCTTTTTTTCGCCTCGGGGCCCGGACGGGCCGTCGTCCGAGGTGGTGTGTATCTCCCTCCCCCCTTTTTGCTCCTCCTCCTCCTCCTCGCCCCTCCTCCTCCTCCTCCCTCCTCCTCCTCCTCCTCCTCCTCATCCTCATCCTCACCTCCCCCCCTCCTCCCTCCTTCTCCTCCTCCTCCTCCTCCTCCACCTCCTCCTCCTCCTCCTCCTCCTCCTCCTCCTCCCTCCTCCTCCTCCTCCTCCTCCTCCTCCTCCTCCTCCTCCTCCTCCTCCTACTCCTGCGCATGCTCTCCACTTCCCTATCTTTTTCCTCACCGCCCTTCTCCTCCCCCTCATCCTTATTGTTTGTTCTTTTGGTCAACGCCCCGACTGTACTCCTGCCCCTGTTCGTGCGCGGCGCTTTCCTTGCCTCGTGAGGAAGGCTTGCGGGGCGCTTTTTCGCCTCGGGGCCCGGACGGGCCGTCGTCCGAGGTGGTGTGTAATCTCCCTCCCCCCTTTTGCCTCCTCCTCCTCCTCGCCCTCCTCCCCTCCCCTCCCCCCTCCCTCCTCCCCTCCTCCCTCCTCCTCCTCCTCCTACTCCTGCGCATGCTCTCCACTCCCCTGTCTTTTTCCTCGCCGCCCTGCTCCTCCCCCTCATCCTCGCCCTCTCCTTCCCCTCAGTATCGCTTCACCGACCCCCACCCCCCTCCGAGATCCCTTCGAGACCCCAGTTGGGGATACACTACACCCCTCAAAGCCCGAAGGGGACGGCCTGCATCCCCCTCTCGGGGGTAAGCCGGCCAGTGGGGCTCAGGCCACGCCAGTGGGATCGGTCCAACGATGCTCACCTTCCTCCCGCTCCTCCCCTCCCGCCAAGCCCGCATCTTAAGTACCCGTTGCGCTGTGGGTGGTCACTGCGTAAGGGAAACATTGTCCCGAGCAGAGCAACACGCACCGTGCTTCGGTGCGGATCGTAAGCGCGCCTCGTCTCCGTCGTCATCGTCGGCGTCGTCGTGGTCGTGGTGCGTGTTGCTCTGCTCGGTATTCTGTTTCCCTGATGCAGTGACCACCACCACCACCCGTTGCGCTGATTTCGTGGTCGACGGTCGGGCAGCCACGCCTTCCGGCCGCGGCCACGGCGGAATGCTGACCGTCGGCTGCTCCTCGATCCCGGCTCGGCCCCTTCCGACGAAGGAGGAGGAGGAGGAGGAGGAGGAGGAGGAGGAGGAGGATGAGGAGGAGGAGGAGGAGGAGTTGGAGGAGGAGGAGATGGAGGGGGGAAGAGATGGAGGGGGGAGGAGATGGAGGGGGGAGGAGAAGGAGGAGGAGGAGGGAGGGGAGGAGGAGGAGGAGATGGAGGGGCTCCGGAGGGGCTCTCGCGTTTGGCCTGTCCCTCCGGCCTGGGTCGGGGTGACCCCCATCGTGGCCGACGCTCGCCGTGGCCAGGGGTGCCTTTCCTCGTCTCCTTTCCAGCGCTCCCCGTGGCAGCGCCGATGGCTGTTATTCACCACCCACCAAACCACCCCAACCCAACCCGAAGGCTCAGATTTGCCCTCGATTTCCAGTGGGGGGGGGGTCGGGAAACATCGAAAACACGTGTGGAACCCTTACCCCCCCCAACCCGAAATTCGGGTCTTCGGGTTGGGTTGGGGTGGTCTGGTAGGTCGTCAGTTATGCTCCCCGCCCCGCTCCCGCTGCTCCCTTCGCCCCCGCTCTCCGTCCACAGTCGGCCAGGGAAGACCGGCGATGCTCCGCGTGCCCCCCTCGCCCCGTGCTCTGGGCCCCCCTGTGGGGTCTTCCCCCGAGCCTGTCGCAGCAGCACGCAGCAGACGAGGCAAGGGGTTCCTTCGGAGCTGGGTCCGTCCGTCCGTTCTCCGTCCCCCGCAGGACGACTGCTGCTCCACCTGCGAGCAGGTCCGGAGCGAGTTCCGCGGCCGCGGCCTGAACGACAGGCCCCTGGGGGGGGGGAGCGTGTCAGGCCAGCCACAACTGGGGGAGCTGTGGTCCTTACCCTCCTAGGGGACCCAGCGATTTCGACACCCCTCTCGAGAGATCGTCGATGCGATGGGTTCCCCCAGGGGGGTAAGGACCACAGCTCCCCCAGTCATGGCTGGTCGGCGTGTCGGCCACTTCCCTGCCTCGCACCTTCCTGCCCCTCGTTAACCCCGAAGGTAGACAGGTCCGAAGGCGATGACAGACTCAGGGGTGCGCGCTCAGAAACTAGGTGTCGAGATCGGCATCGAGATGTTCGAGATGTGGTGCCTATCACCGGGGCAGGGATACAGTCGGGGCGCTGAAGAAGGAGCCCTTACTGTTGGGGAGGGGCTCGGTGTTCCTCAATTGTTCCCCGCCTTGCCTCAGGTTTTCCTTAGGTCTTCCATCAGGAGGCCGAAGTGTAACTTGTGGGAAAAAGGGGAGGCGCCTCGTTCCTTATCTAGGGTTTCTTGGGTCAATGCCTCGACTGTATGTTTCAGCCTCTCCCGGCGTTGGGCGCGAGAGGCCCAGCCCCTGAAGGCCAGGGGCGCTGGGTCTGCAGCGCCCGAGTCTTTCCTCGGGCCTCGATCGATTCGGGAGGATCCTGTCCAAGCCCGCAGTGCCCAGTGCCCTTTTCGGAGGCCCCCAGACCGTGTGGTGACCACACCGCGTGGTGAGTCAGCGGGAATTCGGGGTCGCCGCGCGGTTCTGGGACTCGGGCCGTTCTCCGAGGCCGTCGCGGGCGACTGGGACCTCCAGGGCCCCCAAGACCCTGTGGCGGCGGGCCGTGCGGTGAGATCGCTGGGCATCTCGAGGTCACCGCGCGGTCAGTCGCCACAAGATCTCGGGACCCCCGCTGCCTCGCGCCCTCGCGCGAGGCAGAGGGGGAGGAGGAGGAGGAGGAGGAGGAGGAGG